GGAGAAGAGAAAAAAACCCAAATTCCTTTGTCCCAGTTTGAAAAGTCCCACCTACATTCTTATTGGTCACTCCACCTGGCTAGGTGTAGTTAACCCCTTAATCCCCAGGCTGCTGGCTAACCCTCATAATCATGACACGCATCACCTAGGAGGTTTCTCTCCTACCACTTCTGGGCTCCACCACAGCACAGCCCATGGCACCCTACCTTATCCACTGCAATGAGGGCCCTGGGACCACTGGGACCCATACAGACATTGGTCCTCAGCTAACTCCACTCCATCCTGGGGAAGCTTGCCTCAGCCACAGTCCCTACCTCCAGCAAGTCATTCAGAGGAGGAGGCAGAACAGATTTTGGACAACAAATCAGACATTCATTCAATAGATATCACACACTCTGATACCCTCAGTGCACAACCAGATGACGCCATTGTACCATCAGACACTGTAACGATAGACGACCTGAAACAGTTTCAAGAACTATTCAAGAGAGTAGCAACAAGCCAACGCGTCTCCCTGCAAGAAGTGCAAAAGAAACAACAACTACTAAAGAACTACATCCTACATTACACAGAAAGATTGCCCTACCAATAGACGAGGTAATCATGGAAACTTTGGAGGACTTGTGGAAGACACCCGCATCCATTCAACCAACTAATAATAAATAAATAAATAAATAAATAAACGACAGAAAGTACTTTGTTCCATCAAAAGACAACGACTTTCTCTTCACACATCCACAACTTAACTCCTTAGTAATGGACTCGTACAACAACGAGCGAAGCTCCCATAATATAGGACGGGCAGTGCGGACAAAGACCACAAAAAGCTGGATTTGTTTGGCAAGAAAATATACTCCTTTTCCACCCTACAACTCAGAATATCAAATTACTCCACTGTTAGCAAATCATGATTTTGACAATTATTCCAAACTAGGTGAACTGATACTACACCTCCCTGACCCCTTTTCAGGGAACACTCTCACGAGACCCTACTAAAACAGGAGATTGATCAGCTCCTTGCTATCAGAGCCATAGAAGGGGTATCCGAAGAATTCCACAGGATAGGATTTTACTCAAACTATTTCTTAACTGAGAAAAGAACAGGGGGTTGGAGGCCTATATTGGACCTCTGCAAACTGAACAAGTTTCTCAAGAAACAACGTTTCAAGATGGTCACTCACAACAATCATTCCTGCGCTAGATCAAGGGGACTGGTTCACAGCCCTCGACCTGCAAGATGCCTACTTTCATATAACTATTCACCCGGCCCATAGACGCTACCTACGCTTTATGCTCAGCCCAGAACACTTCCAGTACAAAGTTCTCCCTTTCGGTCTCTCATCAGCTACAAGGGTAGCAGGATGAAACAGCCTCTATGATGCATATGACCACAGGCCTCCTCAATCATCTAGGCCTTCTAATCAACAAACACAAATCAACGTTGCACCCAGTTCAAGATATAGAGTTCATTGGCGCACACCTGGACTCCGTTACAGCTCGAGCATACCTATCTTGACAACGCTTCACAACTATACAGGAAATTATAAGCGGGATGCTCACAACTCCCACCACCACTTGCCTCCAACTAATGGGACACATGGCTTCCACTACCTACGTAGTCCACCATGCTCATCTGCATTTTTGATGCTTTCAACTCTGGGTAGCAACCATTTATATTCTGTCACGACACCCTCGAAACAAAAGGGTTACCATTCCACCAAACGTTCTTCACATGGCTTCCACTACCTACGTAGTCCACCATGCTCTCCTACACTTTCAATGCTTTCAACTCTGGGTAGCAACCATTTATATTCTGTCACGACACCCTCGAAACAAAAGGGTTACCATTCCACCAAACGTTCTTGCATCCCTACGATGATGGATAATACCGAACAATCTTCTGGCAGGGGTTCCATGCCAACAAACCAAACCCACTATCCAGATTACCACAGATGCTTCCCTGCTCGGCTGGGGGGCACATATAGATGGTTGCAAGGTTCAGGGCAGGTGGCCCTCAACCGAGACACTATTACATATCAACCTCCTCAAATTAAGGGCAGTAAGGAATGCCTGTGCACATTTTGCCTTCGACATCGCCATCATACAGTTCACATCCTAACGGACAACATTTGCATGATGTTCTACATAGACAGGGCGGAGCCCACTCCCGCTCCCTCTGCATGGAAGCTGTCTGTCTGTGGAACTCATGCATCTGCAATCAAGTCACCCTTGTAGCATCCTACCTGCCTGGGGTGAACACCACCAAAGCAGACTCCCTCAGTGGCAACTTCACCTTGGACCACGAGTGGGAGTTACATACGGAGGTCACAAATTCAATTTTCCACCAATGGGGATGGCCATCTATTGACCTCTTTGCATCTACCCAGAACACCAAGTGCCCCCAGTTCTGCTCACACGCAGGACTTGGCAAACATTCCCTGGGGGATGCCTTTCTAATCAAATGGACAGCCCCCCTACACTATGCCTTCCCCCCCCCAAC